CAAACAGAATCACGGTCGCAGATATGTAGAGATCCGCATACCTACGACCGTATCTCTTTCGGACGGGAGACGCCTAACTTGTTTACGCGATCTAGCTAGGGTTATGAACAAAGGGCTTATACCTAGGGTGGCGGTGGAGTGGAGAGGTGACGCGGTGCAGGCAGACCCGAAGGAAGATGCTCGGGTACTCCGGGTCCCCTCCGTCGGGCTCTTCTCTCGCAAAACAAGAAACACAATTTATAAGTTCAAAATTTCGTGAGAACCTCCCCGTATGGGGAGGCTTCCAAAACCGCAAGAAAAAACACAAGACGATGGCCGACATCCACAATTTTCGCACGATGGCCGATTCAATGACATATGGCACGATGGCCAACACATCCACAAAAGGCACGAAGGCCCACTAATCGAGAAATGGCACGAAGGCCAAAGAACAAAGGGAGGGGTCTTTACCTTGGGTGGCGGTGTAGTCGGGTGTGACGTGAGTCAGGATCACCCTCGTCTTCGGCTAGACGCGGGGAAAACGGCGACTACCGCTCGGCATGACGCGATGACGCGGGGGCGTGACGGTCGTCGGCCTATCCTTCTCCCCTCCTTCTCCCCTCCTCTCTTCTCCCTTCCTCTTCTCCCCTGCTCTCCTTCTCCTCTCCCTCTCCTTCTCCTCCTCTTCTCCCCTCCTCCTCCCTTCTCCCCTGCTCCTCTTCTTCTCCCCTTCTCCTTCTCCTCTCTTCTCCCTTCCTCCTCCAAATGCTCTCTGCCTGACGCCAGCCAGGGCGCACAGGCCGGGCCGGGGACGCTACTGGTCATGGGGTGGGCCACCGTGGCGTGGCGGAGGCGGCGGTGCCCGACCACATGTGGCATCGGACGTCGCAACTTGCTCGAAACCCACTCAATTTTTTATCACAGCCTATACATGCGATGAAATGACACCTCGACAAGTTTCGTGAATTTTGGACTTCGTTTCCATTTTATATAATTTAAAAATACTTTACATGCAAGTTCCTCGCCGTGTTCCGTGAAAACGATGCGCCAAATTTGGCATCTATCACTGGATACGGTCTCACACCACATGTAATACCATGAATATGATTTTTTTGAATCACTCAATTCCAATATTCGATGCACCTGCAGTTCAAATTTGAATTACCGGGAAGAATTCAAGTAAATGAAATAAACTTATTAAATATAGCTAATAAAATAAAAAAAAGCTCCAAATTTTAATATGTACTTTAAGGTACAACAGTAAACCCAGGGAAAAAATTTGGAAGCAAAAAAACCAAAAAAAAAAAATTTTGCCGAGGGCACAGAAACGACACTCGGCAAAGTAATTCTTTGCCGAGGGCCAAATTCTGACCCTCGGCAAAGCAGAACAGACAGTGAAGGCCGTTTTGCTGCCGTCATTGAGTTTACCGACGGCCATGTTTTGCCGAGAGCCGAACCTCGGCATAGATAAACTTTTGCCAACGGCCTTTCTTTTGCCGACAATGGGACCCTCGGCAAAGGCCGAGTTTCCGAGAGGAATTTTTTTGTCGACGGCTGGCCCTCGGCAAATATGGTTTTGCCAACGGCCTACCGTTGCCGAGGGCCGACTCTCGGCAAACCTTTCTTTGCCGAGAGCCCGACATTTGGCTCTCGGCAACGACGCTGGCTCTTGGCAACAGGCCTGTTTCCGGTAGTGTGGCTGGTACTAGTAGTTCCCCCACTCTGCACTGTGTCATACAGAAGGAGAAGGGTGAAAAACGCATGTTGCAAGTCTATGTTTCATGTGTTTCAAATGTTTCATAAGTATGTTGCAATTGTTTCTTATGAATCTTGTAAAAGTACATCAGGATGTTGCAATGGTTGTATACGTATGTTGCAAGCTTTTGTTTCCAATGTTTCATCTGTTTTTTCAGACGTATATTGTAAGTGTGTTTATTTGAATGTTGCGTATGTTTCACACATATGTTGCAACTATTTTATCTGGATGTTACGTATGTCTTACAATGGTTTTAAAGTATTTTTTTACAAGTGTTTCAGATGCATGGTTCAAGTGTTTCATCTATCTTCAGACGTATGTTGCAAGTGTTGCATCTGGATTTTTCAAAAGTAGATCGGGTGTTGCATCTCCCAACTCATCTTCTGCTGCCTCGCCTCGGTGTACTCCTCGCCTTCTGCTGCCATGCATCCTGCTCAAACTACAGAGGGAGCGCGGCGGGGGCCACTAGAGGGGATGGCGGTGTGGCTGCGAGCGCATGCTCTACCCTTATGTTATGCGGGCTGGAATAGGCTTCCGTTGGACTCAAGTTGATGGGTAGGATACTGTTTCCGTGCCAGCCCAAGCCCACATATCGAGTCGTAGTTGGCTGGCGGGAGCTACGTCCGGACACGCTGCTAGGGTCGGACGTCTGAGCGCTAGTCATCCCCTATTGAAATACTTATATGTGTTATTATACTTTCAAAATATGAGAAGTTTGTAGTAATTTTTATTAGCTTTCCATATTAGTAAAGATCATGATTTTTTGATAAGGAGAACTCCAGGTATAGAAGTTTAATGTCAGATGTATTGTTTCCTCAACAGGATTTTCAGTTAAGGTTGGGTCACACTTTAGGTCATTTAATTGACAATTTATGCAAAAGTGCATAATACCAAAGTTTTAGGTTATGGAAGTCTCTGCTAACTAGTTAAATTTCATAATTCTTAGACATAAGGATTGGGAGGTATGAAAATATGATGCTTGTTGTATCAATTCTAGAGCAGTTCCTGAAATCTCTTTTCAATGGCAGTTTAGCCCATGTTAAAGGCATGATAAAAATACAATCTCCGCATAAAAGTTTTAGGCCTTGTTGTGTAGATTCCAAAAGTGTATTGTTTGCTATCAAAGCCTTATGGATCGAATGATACAAAAAGGTGAAGCAGCTGCTGCAATTGGCTTGGTGCTTTGTTCTTTGTTTTGCTTGGATGCCGGATTGGGGTGTAGGAGTGGTTTACCTACTGTACCATCTTGTTACTATGAGGTTTCTATCTTATACTGTTAAAGCAGGTAGTAGTGCTCTAGATCACATCTAGAGCGGTCATGCCTTATTGGAGGCAAGTAAACGTAGTAGTGGTTTGCTACGAGCTCTAACTTGTTATTTATTCTATGTCTACCGTAAGAATTTAGAACCATGGCAGACATTATATGGCCTTCAAACCACGTTTTAATCACTTTGACTTGTCCTCTATGCTTTCTATGTGGATGTCTATGTTCCTCTACGTGTGGTTTTATGATGCTCATGTTAGTAGAATGGAATGAGGTTTGTTATCCGCATGGCAAGATGCTCTTGATATTATACGTGGACTATGATTCTTGCCTTTAGAACTTGCATTGCATCTCATTCATTCATTGGCATAAGGAGTTATGTCACTGGTTGCTAGCCTCGACCATACCTATACAACATCATTTATTGGGCATAACCTCGACCATACCTATACAACATCATTTATTGGGCATAACGGAGCTTCATACCTTGTTGAGTACAAAGGCAGGAGACATGTCATTTGCATTGCATATGCGTTCACTACTACATAAATGACTTCGCAAGACACTGCCCAATCATTAATGGAGGCGGTCCATCCAACCGTCTTGTAAAATACGTGAGGATTTTTTGAGGTGGACGTTTTATTTACGAAGGTGGTCAAAAGTAGCCCGTCTTCTAAAAATAGATTTACGAAAGCAGTAAAAAATTGTGCCCCTCCTAAAATTGATTTTTGGAGGTGGCCTCTTAAAAGGCCCGTATGTAAACATGCCTAAGTCCTAGCCAAAGCCCATATATATCTATCCATCTACCGGGCAGAGGAGTTAGGGTTTCTTCCTCACTTCAATCTGAGCTCTCTCTCTCAGCTCTCTCCCCTGCGAGGAGGCTATCCCTCTCCCCCACACGGTGCCCTTGCCTCTCCCCCGCGCGGCGTCCCTCTCTCTCTTTCTCCGACGCGAAGCCCCTCTCTCCCCCGCGCGGCGACTCTCTCTCTCCCATGCGGCGCCCCTCTCTACAACCAAGTGGCGGTGCGGCCGCCCGTTCTTGCAGCGGCACGGCCGCAGGAGCTCATGGTGAAGGCGGCCCAACGTCCGCATCTGAGCAACGGCAACGGCGCAAGCGGATCCGACGAGCGGCAGTGGCGGTGCTTCGATTGGCTTAGCAGACCCATCGACGGGCTTGCTGGCTTTTTTTGTTTTGTTTATTGATTAACCCAGGCAGGCATATGATCGCATTGGTAGATTCTGATTAACGCAGGCCTTTAATTTCAGACGGACGTGATGCCCGCCTTCGAAAATCCTTTTTGAGCATCTAGGAAAACACGTGAATGCAGTAGTGATTATAATTTTGGACTATGACATGAAAGCCTTGAACTAAGGCTTTGGGTGAGCTTGTGAGAAACTATGCTTCTACAAGGTTTGGTGGTGGTTAATCTTTACCATACATGAGGTTTAAATCGATGCTTAATGAATTTGTCGTACAAAAATCTTGTTAAAGCAATTTACTTGTTGAGATTTTTGTCGCACCCTTTGTCTATTTTTCCAAATGCTTAGGTGGCTTTTCCTTGAAGGGTGAGAAAGTAGCCGCACACTCGGCACATTCATGTCATCTTTTAATGTAAAAACTTGTGATGTTATGATAATAGTACTAGAACTTAGTCTTGGTTAACCTTAACTTTGGTCGGTGGTTGTTGTTGGGAAGTCTTTTCTAGACTTTTGTTGATGATGATCTGCTCGTTAGGATGTTCTATCCTGTTGATTGAGCTAATTTATATCTCTTTGTATGTTGACCGAGCTTATTTATACCTCTCTATATGTTGTTCGCTCTAGTTTCTATCTCTTGTGGTGGCATCTTAAGGGAGGTTCTGGGGGTGTTACACCAAAGGCTTTTGGGGACAGAGTTTTTGTCCATGTGCACTCTCTAATCTTCTTAGACTTGCTCTCAACAATTGGTAACAGATTCTAACTATTGCATTGAAGAGAACAAGGATCACTCATATTGTAATTTCAACTCTTCACAGCTGGCTGCGGGTACAAAGTACAAAACCAGAGCTGAAGACTCAGATTATCAAGCCATGACTGAATGAACACGCAAATGGCCACAAACATCACGCATATAGCAACCTAAGGACATGCATGATGCTGTTGCGGCAACAAATTAAACAAACAAGCAAATATACATGTAGCACGCACTAGCACAAAATATTAGCAATTTGAGCGATAAGGGAAGCAAACATGTGTGGTAAATCAACCAAAAACACATTGCGGAGCTCATACCCGTCCAGCATCAAAACCTTGTCTGCGAATAAGAAGGAAATAGGTCAATAAAATGAATAAAAAGCTAGCTCAAGGGGGTACTCTGAAGAAATAGGAATAGGAGTACCTAAAAATATTGGCAGCCTTACTACGCCGCTTGTCTTTTGATTCCGAGTCCGGCGTCTGAAGAACCTTGTCTGCAAATAGGAAGCAAGCAAACAGGTAAATAATTCCTACAAAAATGCCCAAGGCCATTGTCTGAAATAAGAGTAGGAGCAATTGAACCTGCTGCTTCTGGTTTTGGTTTTTGTTCTCCCTTGTCCTTTGCTGGATCCTCGCCTTCTGGTTCTGGGTCGTCATCAGGCATCTGGAGTTTGTCCGCTAAGGTCCTACCCCCAATCAGTGAGATGAGGAGCCAGACATTGGAGAGGAACTCCCCGCCTTCTCCCAAGCTCTTGGCATGCAGGTCGCTCCTGCACATGCTGGCAGAGTAGCAGAGCATGCCCACCCACACGCGGTGCTTGAGCTCCCACCGGGTCTCGTGGTCCTGGATGCCCAGCAGCTCCTCTGCGAGCTTGCAAGCGTCGTCAATGACGGTGTACGCCTCTTTTTTTTTTAGGCTGGCTGCTTCTTCCTTGATCTTGCCTAGGATCACGTCATCCAACGGCTGCTTCTCACTGAGCTTGGGCCTCAACCCCTTGGTGGCTTTTCTGATGACGCACTCCATGTTTGCCATGGCTTCGGTGAAGAGATGTTGCCTGCTGCCGGCCATCAGCATCTCGGGCTGGAAATCCAGGAGGTAGGCCATGTAATTGGATATCGCCTCCGTGCACACTTCACGAACCACCCCTTCAGGCGGTGGCCTGAAGCGGAAGTAGTCGGGAGACTTGACGCGGAAGCAGAGGTCGGTGGCGATGTGCCAGATGAGGACACTCTCGTCGAACGGCTTCTCACGCAGGCTGGCCCGGATGTTCTCGTACTTGTTGCCGCGAACTACTTCCAGGTCCTTGTTCCTGAGAATCCAGTTGCGCTTGCTCAAGCTTCTGTAACTGGATAGGTCGAGGTCGAAATTCTTGTCTTCGCCTTTGCCTTTGTCGTCTTTTTCTTTGTCTTTGTCATCCACCTTATTTAAGATGATGTCCACCTTGTTTATGATGATGATGTCTTTGTCTTCCACCTTGTCTCTGATGACGTTCAGGACACGGCCGTACAGGCGATCTTTGTCCTTGCCGAAAGAACCTCCCTTGTAACACCTGAGCAGCAGCATGGATACTATCGGCCTCCTGATCGTCCAGAGAACCGAGTCCATGAGGTTATGCCCCGGCAGGTTCTCGCACGACGACGCTCCACCGGACGACGACAGCAGCCAGTGCACCATCTCACTGACGAACATCCCGAAGACATCCAGCGCCGCGGTGAAGCACAGCAGAGCGTACGTCGTGTTGACATCCGCTCTGCTGTACCTGCTGTACCCATGCTTCTTGTAGTCCACCGCGAAGAAGAAGAGCACGGTGGCGGCCACGTACAGGGACGGCACCAGCAGCGCGTGGCAGGCCAGGTACGCCGGCGTGAACATCGTGGCTTCCCTCGTGTAGATGAGCCCGAACGCTTGGCGCAGCCAGGGCTTCATGATCTTGTCAACTTCTGAGGGCTCCAGGGCTTGATGCTGTTCACGCCGCCAGGACTTGAGAGGCTCGAGGATCTTCTGATCTGGCTTCTTCTTCTTCCGCGTCTCCAGCGTTGCTCTAGCGGCGTGCAGCGACAGGCCCGAGAGCAGCATCTGCACCTTGTCTCCCTGCGACAGCAGCGGTGCGGTGCCGCGGGGCTTCAGCTCTTTCCAGCACTTGTACCTGTCGCCCAGCCCGGTGAAGCACCACTCCCACCACCCGCCGCTAGGCTGCTTCGTCTTCGTCTTCGTCGTCCTCGCTCCATTCGCCAGCGACGACTTGGCCACCAGCCGGCGGACGCTGGCTCTCCTGAGAACCCACGGCTTCCCGCAGGAGCTGACGACCGCGGCCACGAGCAGCAGGGCCGCCGACGCCAGCAGCTTGAAGGCGTCGCTGCTGTCGCTGAAGTAGCGCAACGACGTGAAGAAGGCGTACACGGTGACCGTGACCAGGACCGCGGCGTGCCGGACCCACAGCGCCGTGTCGTCGTCCATGCCACTGGCGGTGAGCTCCTCCCGCCCGCCCAGGTGGACGAGGAGGAGAGGTGCCCACAGGGCCTCCAGCGGCAGGGACCTCACTTGTTGGGCCCTGCTGTAGTAGTCGTCGAAGCCGCTGATCCACCTACCGGCGGCCTGGCGATACAAGAGGGTGGCGAGCGCGTAGATCGCCAGGACGTCGGCGCAGATGGACGCCAGCCGGATGCATGCTCTGATCCAGCGCTGGACGGTGTAGTTGCGCATGGGGACGACCAGCACGAGGAACCACTGGAAGCCCAGGCTGCCGAGGACGAGGTTGCGCAGCTGCCACTCGTCCCACCATTGCACAGCACTCATCTCTCCCAGACGTTGCATGACTACGAATAAGACCACACAACTCTCTTTTCTTTCAGTTTTCTGAAACGAAGTTAGACCTCCCGATTACTAGTGTTTATATTGCATACATGTCCCCTTACACGCCTTCTAATGAACAGTGTTACGAACATTTAAGTATCCCTACTTTACTTTTATTATCAGTAATAACACATACTTTGTCAAAAACAAAAGAAAAAAGGAAAAGGGAAAAGGGAAAAGCCGTCGCACTCTAGTAGTTGCAGCTTTTGTTTCTATACCTTGCTTCCCCCTTTAATGTCCGTGGCAATATTCCAAAGTGCCTCACGTATTAGAGACGATATATGCACATGATTTTGTTTCCCTCCTTTCGTGATGGTCACAATATCGATCGTCCAACCGCGACCCAGAAGTGCAACCAAATCTTATCTGGTACTATTACTTTAGAGACATAAACCCAGAATCTCCACATTAATTCTCACCAAATATGTTAAAAAAATAAATACTAAGGTCCTGTTTGGCACAGTTTAGCTTCACCGGTAAAAGCAACTATCTTAGTGAAGTTAAGCTGTTTTGAAAAAAAATGTTTGGCAAAACGGCTTCATTAGATGAAGCAAATGAAATAAATGACTAAAATGCTCTTTATTTTTTTTTCTTTTTTTTCCTTGTTTCCTCACGGGCACTGATATAGAACAGAGCTTTACTCCCGGTGGGGAACCCCCTCTAGTCCCGGTTCCCCACCCGGGAGCAAGCATCCGGAACTAAAGAGGGGTTCTTTAGTCCCGGGTCGGGAATCGGGACTAAAGAAGGGACCTTTAGTCCCGGTGAATAACACCAACCGGGACTAAAGGTGCCTCCTGACATGCCACGATGGCCGGCACCCTTTAGTCCCGGTTGGTAATACGAACCGGGACTAAAGGTTTTTTTTTTCTTTTCTTTTCATTTTTTTGTTTTCTTTTCAAAATAGGTTTTCGAAGTCATATTGTACGCTGCTAATTATACATCTATACGCGCGTATAGTATGTTTCGGTTCAAGCACAATGAACGTATTAAATTACACAATTCAAGCATAGAAATATATATATATATATGCATGCATGCATCATATATATTTACATGCATGCATGCATATGTGTATTTTACATTATATTATTTCATGTGCATATATTACAAAAGATTGCATTACAGTTGTTGTGATATAATAAGTTTCCTCTCATCCTCTAGCTTGGCTTCAATGGCAGTGTTGGGTCGAAGTAGAACTCGCCCTTGGAATCGATGACCTGCTCATTAAAAAATCCGGCTATAGACTCTTGAATTACTTTGATTTGGTCTTGCCGTATGACCTTTTCCTCCAACCATCGAGCCTACAGGTTTGAATTAAAGGAAAATAAATTAATATATGTACAAAAAAGATATATATATATATAAATACATAGTAACACAATCAATAATAATAATTAAATGAATATATAGTTTATTTTTAACGTACTTTGAGTCTCTCTGTAGGAGTTCTTTGGGAGACCACCTTGATAAACTTGCAAACATAGTAACCACAGTAGTTGTTCCCCTGTTCCTGCCTCAGACACCACTTTACGAGAAAAAAGATTTGTCATCCAATCTGGTGATCTAGTGAAAGCTATATGTTTAATTAATAAAAATGATGCGATTCAGGGGACTTACTTTCAAATGGATTACATTCAATGGCGCTTTGCATTTTTCCATGTGTTGCTTCTCAATAAAGGTTTTCCAAACACTGCCCAATAAAAAATTTGCCACGTCATCAGATATAGTTAATCATCATGTTTGTGTGTATATATAGTTGCTAGAGATACCGAAATTACCTCTGGATAATATCTATCATATCTTGGTAGTCTTGTTGTGGTTTTCTCATCGAGTCATAGATTATCAAGTGACTTTTCACCAGATCGATGTCCATCAATATCCAGTGATTGCTGCATGTGTTTATAGGATATAACGCCTAACACTCATTAATTAACTAGAATCAACATATGAGCCATTAAGGATGATCGACATTATTAACACTCACTTGAAGTTGTAGGGAAAGAGTATATCCTTCTTGTGGCGTTGGTTCACTAAGAAGTTCATGAGGTTACACTCACTCGGACTTCCAATTAGTCTTTGGAGATGCTCGGGTCTTTGAATACTATATGGGGATCAACAAAACCAATTTCATTGCAGCCTTCCTTTCTCGAAAGCTGTCATTGTAAATCTGCATATATATAGTACTTGTTAGGATAATTTATATGCATATACACACATATGATGAGTTTAATAATAGATCGAAAGAATTATTACTTATAGGCAATAGCAGCTAATGATAACTTTGTCCAAGAGAGGTCAGGTGGCTAGTTGGTGAAATTCTGCAAAGTCAACATACCATAACATCATCGCCACGGAACCAATGTTCGTCTCTAATTCGACACCAACGCAGAAGTCTCCACCGGTAGACGCCTTGCATGTACCACTTGTTTAGCGGTATATTTGCGTCCCCAGATCAGATAAGGCTTGAGGGTTGTATAGACTCTGGCCTAGTACAAATTTTTTCTTCCAAATATCAACCTCCGCCGCACTCTCAATGTTTCCATCACCAAACATCTGGTAAAGGTCAAGACCAGTCTCATCAATAAATTCACCAAGGTGATCCAAATCGATATCCGGAGGTATGTTTGCCTGATGCATTAATCCTAAATTCAAACCATATTCATTACCAACAACTAGCGGGGGGACTGATTGGTGCGATTGTTGTCCGAGTTGTGCAACTCCTTTCCCTGCCCGCTTCTTTTTCTGTGCTGCCTCAATTGACTTGGTGAGAGTGCGGTCATAGTCCGTTAACGTTGATTTGGACGGCTTACGAGATTCTCGCTGTTGTTGCTGGTAAGAAGCCACCTTTTTCTTAGAATATCTGGAGCTACAAAGAAGTACGGTTTCTCCGGGTTTCTCCTTGCTTCTTGATTCTTTTTAAGTTTGTCATAGAATCTGGACATATCTTTTTTATATGCATCAGTTACTTCTTCCTTCTGTTCAGATATTAATGATGTAGTGTTTTCATCCGCACCTATGGTGAGGTAGTTTAGGAAGAGGTGCAGGCGACATCCCGGGAATGATGATGTAGCGCTTGCGCCATAGAATGAATATCTTATCTGCTTCTCCTAGAGTCTTCTCGCCATCACCTCCAGGAATGTCAAGAGGCAAATCACTAAAACCTTTTTCAGCTTTATCTACCGAGATGGTAGCATATCCTTCTTGGATTATATTCCCATGAATCCTTGGTGTCTTGGTTCGGTCGATAGGATTAACAAGACCGATAGCCACCTTGATTGTGGAATTCCCCTTCGGAATGTGTAGCTCACATGATGTAAAAGGTTCAGTGACGCCATCCACAGGGAAGCGCAGTCCTGTGTCCCCTTGATTTGGTATCTCTGTGGAAGCGCAGCTGCTTTTCAACTGAACAGATTGGCTAATGTTGATTCCTAGCTCTGATGTCTGCTTGCTTGCACTCATGCTATTTGCACTTGCCTTCTGATTTCCTCCTGCATTCTCGCTTCAAGGTTTTTTCCCGCTCCTGTGCTTCACGCACCGCTTCCTCCAACCTCTGGAGCCGCTGTGCCTCTTCTTCCTTCTTTCTCTGGCGGCTTCTGTAGGAAGGTCTGTCCTGAGGGAATCCATGCTCCCATGAGATACTTCCTTTGCCTCTAGTTCGGCCACCGTGTTCAATAGTCCCGATGGTGTATGTCAGTTCATCCTTCTCTCTGTTGGGTCTGAACGCACCACTAGCAGTAGTTCTCTGAGCATAAAACAATCTTTCTGCTGCTTCTTGCAGTCTTGCGCCATAAACGCACTTCCCTGTCTCCTGGTCCAGTGTTCCCCTATGAGCGAAAAACCAATTCTTTGCACGCTCTCCCCACTCGAGTGATTCTGGTGTGATACCCTTGGCAAGAAGGTCTGCTTCCATTTTGTTCCACTTCTTCATGGCAGTCGGGTAGCCACCTGATCCCAAGTTATGGTGGTATGTCTTCTGTTGGGCATTACGTTGGTTCTTTATCACCCGACTCACACCCTCTTCCGATGTCTTGTACTGTACAAACTCATCCCAATAGGGCCTCTGCTTTGAGATCGGGCCTGGGACAGTAAAATCTGGTGCTATGTTCTTCTTGACATACGTCGTGTATAAGTGTTTCTTCCAAGTCTGAAACTGGGTGGCCATCTTCTTCATTGCCCAATCCCTAACTCGCTCCTTCAATTCATCACCATCTATTATATCACCATAACCATCTGTTTGGAGCGTGAAATGTTCCAAGACATCATTCCAAATTAACGTCTTGTCACGATCGGAGACAAAACTGATATGAGGAGCATTGGTCTTCTTCTTCCATTCGTGGGTACTGATCGGGAGCCAGTCCCATACAAGGTAACCACAGTGGTGCACGAATTTCGTTTTATTTGGCCCCCCGGTTCGCCTGTATCCACATTGAACTCCGAGATGATGAAGCGGCCCTCCAATGGCTTTTTGGGACCTCGAACATTTTTACTCTTCGTTGTAGTTGTTGATGTTGATCCAGAGGGCTACAAAACATAAACATTATTTTTAATGTCATGAGCACACATAAGACATATGATAATATATATAGCTAATAATAAAAAATATATACTTGGCCAATATGTTGTTGCTCATTTTGTTCAAGAGCTAAGTACTGACTCCCGTCATCTGCATCCTCTTGCACGTTATTGTTAGCACCATCATCGCCGGCAACTTGAGTGCCAGTGTTGATCAAATTCATCATCAACTCCTCCTCATCCATGTTTCTCGGGTCGGCCATCTAGCTTCAAAAAACAAAACCAATATATAGTACGTCAAATCTTTGCTTACATGCGTAAAATCTACGAACAATATGCATTATTAAATCTTGCCCCTCGGTCACGGACGCAATTCGCCACACTTGGGCGAACTGCGTCGGTACTAGGGCGAATTAGGGCTATACATAAAC